CAAAAGTCTGTACCCCATATTGAGTCAACCCCACAACTTCCCATAGTCACCACAACCAAATATCAAAAGCATACGAACTCCAACGTTCGTAACTTTCTAGTTCGTGCTCCGATTGAAGCGATACTTGGTTCCTCGGAAAGCTCTTGAGCAGAGGAGTCACTTCAGATATCTGCTCAAGCCAAATAACATTCACACACACACTCAGAAAAACCAAACCGCACAAAACACAAATTCTTGCACACACTCACAACACGCATGCAACGCACGAACATATGATGGGAGGCAGACAGACGTGAATGCGAATGGTAGCATCACTCAACAAACTCCCCCTCTGGCTGCCAACCATCATCCCACATGCCATAGCTCAAGCATGCATCCTCAATGCACACTCATCCCAGCAAGCTTCATGCCCTTCCAATGCTCAGATTCAGCCAGGCGCTTGGTGAGAATGTCAGCCGCCTGCTGATGGGTCTTCACAATCTCCAGCCGCACCTCCTTGTCCAGGAGCCTCCTCACCCAGTGCCACTTAGGCTTGATGTGTTTGGTCAGCCCATGAAGACAAGCATTCTTCGCTAGCTTCACCGTCGACTCATTGTCACAGAAAATCACAGTCGGCTCCCTCTGACCAACTCCAATCTCCTCCAACAAACGCCTCAGCCACACCACCTCCTTTGCCCCATGATGCAGGGCCATGTACTCTGTCTCACACGAGGACTGCCCCACCTCATTCTGCTTCTTATTGCGCCAGCTCACTGCACCACCTCCGAACAGGCACACATAGCCTCCAATGCTGGTGCCATCCGCTTTCACCGAGTTGAAGCTAGCGTCAGTGTAGCAGGTCAGGAGCATCTCCCCCTTGCTCAAATCAGCTGCACTCCTCTGCAGCCTCTGCCTCACAGCACTGTACTCCAAACCCACTGATGCCGTTGCACTGACATAGCGGACCAACCTCTTGGCCGCTTCCAGCTGCTCATGACTGGGGCGTGAAACCACACTGGCAAGCCTGGATGTTGCAAAGGCAATGTCAGGCCGTGTGTGGTTAGCCGCATAGTTGAGTGCCCCAACCATGGAATGAAAAAGTTTCCTGTCACTCTCACCCACCACCTCCTCATCAGCACAGGGCTCTACAGTGAACCCCGAAGGCAGTGGGGTGGCTGGCTTTCCTCCATCTTGCAGCCCATACTTCTCAGCCAGCCCCTCACAATACTTTCTCTGGTGCAACCTCAACACTCCCTTGTCAAGGTCCCTCTCCACATGCATCCCTAAATAGTACTTCACATCTCCCATCTTGGAGCACTTAAACTGCATCTCCAGCATCTCCTCCACATGCTCAATCATTGCAGACGACTCAGAGAAGAGCAGGATGTCATCCACATACACCAGGAGCATGAGAAACTGCTCCTTCTCCTGCAGCAGGAACAAGCTGTGATCACACTCACTCTTCTTGAAACCCCCAGCCAGCAGAGTCTCCTCTAACTTGTGGTACCATGCACGAGGAGCCTGCTTCAGGCCATAGATGGCCTTCTTCAGCCTGCACACCCTGCCGCTCCCATCATCCAAACCCTCAGGCTGTAACATGTACAGCTCCTCCAGAATGATCCCATTGAGGAAGGCGGTGGTGATGTCCATCTGCTTCACCCGCCATCCACGGTATGCTGCCATTGCCAATGACACCCGAAGTGTTGTGCCTTTCCCCACAGGAGCATAGAGCTCGTTGAAGTCCTTTCCCTTTGTCTGCTGAAACCCCTTAGCCACAAGCCTTGACTTGTAGCGGGTCAGCGCCCCATCAGGTCCGTACTTGTGCCTGAAAATCAGCTTGGAAGAAATGGCCTTCTTCCCAGGTGGCAGCTCACACAGCTCCCACGTCTCATTCTCTAGCAGAGAATCATACTCCTCCTTCACACTCTGCTTCCACTTTTCAGCATCGGGCCCGCTCAATGCCTCAGCTAGCGTCTTGGGCTCAGGGACGGCTGCCCAGTAGCAGTGTGCTATCTCATCCTCATCACACTGCTCAGCCACACTCCCAGCCCTTACCACCTTTGGCTTGCCACGGCTTGCATAGGTCAGCCTGTTAGGAGGGCGCACATCCCTCCTAGGACGGTCAGCCGTACGTCCGGCACCTTGTGGAGCACCTTGCTCCTCCTGCTGCTGCGGCTGCTGCTGCTGTTGCTGCTGCTGCTGCTCCTCCACCTCAGGTTCTCCCCCATCCTCTGTCACCCCAGAGATCTCATTCTCAGAGACAGAAACCTCCACTTGCCTTGAAGGCCGCTGCACCTCATCGGCCTCGACAATTAGCGGTGTCGTTGGAAGCTTCTGCTGCTGCTGCTGCTTCCACTCCTTGTAGTACAAGGACTCAAGGAACTTCACATCCCTTGACACAGTCAGCTGCTGGCTGGTCAAGTCCCAAATCAGCCAGCCCTTGTGATCCTTAGCAAGCCCCAAGTGCACACCCCATCTCCCAGAAGCTTCCAGTTTTCCCCTCTTCTCCTTAGGCACATGAAACACCACCATGCACCCAAAGGCTCTCAGCATGTTCACAGCTGGTGCAATCCCATACCACTTGGTGTAGGGGACCCACTGCTTGTCCCCCACAGTCGCCAGCACCCTGTTCTTCACAACAACGACCTGCCGCAGTGCTGTCACCCAAAACGGATCCGGCAGCCCTGCACGCCCAAGGAGAGTGCGAGCACCTTCCTGCAGGGTCCGGTTGAACCGCTCAGCCACGCCATTCTGCTGAGGGTTGTAAGGCACTGTGAGCTGATGCTGGATCCCCTTCCGCTTCAGCTCCTTCTCAAAATCAGCGCCGATGAACTCTCCTCCGTTGTCAGTGCGGATCACCTTCACCTTGTGTCCGCTTTCCCTTTGTGCTCTCGGCATCCACTCCTTAAGAACAGCCGCTGCCACCTCCCCCTTAGTCTTGAGAGGGTACACCCACACCGCACGCGTGTGGTCGTCCACAATCGTCAAGAAGTAGCGGCTGCCCGAGAGAGAAAGGGCCCTCGTGGGGCCCACCACATCCATGTGCACTAGTTCAAGTGGTGCCTTGGCTGGTCCTGTGCTGCTGCTGAAGGGAAACTTCGTGAATTTGGTCTCAAGGCAGGTAGGGCAGCTCCCAATCTCCTTTGCTCCCCCCTTCACCTCCAGCCCCTTCAAGCACCCATCCTTTACCAACTTCTGCAGCATAGGAATGTTCACATGGCACAGCCTCTCATGCCACGTCTCCCAATCAGCCTCACCACTCCCAGATGAAGCCTTTGCCCATGCAGCTGTCGCATCAACACCAGCAAGCACCTCACCATGTGGCTGTTGTGGCTGCTGCACCTTCTTGACTGCATCCAGGGCCCCAGCAGTTGGTGCAGTCTCCTCTCCTCCCGCAGTTGCTTTAGCCGCTGCCGCTGCCTTTGCCGTTGCTGGTGGTTTCCCCTTCCAAGGGATGATGGGTAGCTGCCACAAGTCCTTGATGCAGCTGCTCTTCTCCTCCAAGTTCCACAGCAGCAACTTCCCAAGCTTTGCACGGCAGCTGGTTGGGCCGAAGGTAACTTCAGCCTTGCTCTTCTGCAGCCGGCGCACAGAAAGAAGGTTAGCGGACAAACCTTCAACCAACAGCACATTCCCAAGCCCCACAAGCTCTCCATTGGCTCCCATCACCTTGGCATTCCCAACACCAATCACAGGGAGCAAAGCACCTGAAGCGGCAGCCACAAACTTGATCTTCCCAGGAGGTTTTACCTCATCAAGCAAATCTGCCCGTGGGGTCATATGACTCGTGCAACCTGAATCGATCACCCAGTGAGTGAGGGGGTGCATCACAACCTTCCCAACTGAACCCACATCACCCCCACTCCCTTGCACATCCTCAATCATGAGGAACATCCCAGGGTGGGCTTTACCTTGTGCACCATCACCTTGTGCACCTGAACCTTGCACAGCGCCACCGCGTGCACGTTCACCACTTGGCGGCTTCATGCCTGGAGGGGCCCATCCCTCAGGCCGGCTGAAACACTTGAACCACGGGTGTCCAGCCTTCTTGCAGTACCAGCACGCACCCTCCATTCGGGTGCTCCCCCTGCCACCAGAGCTCCCATGCCCCTCATTGTAGTCACCTCGGCCTCTCCCTCTGCCAAAGCCTCTCCCACGGCCTCGGCCTCTCCCTCCCCCTCTTCCTCTGCTGCCTCCTGCAGCTCCATACCCCTCAGCAGTTTTGTTGGCAGCACCACCTCCCGTGTGGCGTCTGCGGAAGTCCTCCTGCAGAATCTGCTGCCGTAGCCACTCAGGCGTCCATTTGTCCTGCTGAACGTTGAGGGTGGGGATGAGGTTGTCCCACGAGTTGTCGAGCACCGAGATGATCTTGGTGCACTGTTGCATCTGCGACACTTCGCTGCCCGCCGCTGCCATCCTCGCATAGGTGTCCTTGATCTTGTCAAGGACCGGTTTCACATCATCTCCCGGTTTCATGGAGAGGGCAGCCAACTCCTTCTCCAACACAATCACCATCGGCAGCGTGTTGGGCTGAATCACGTCGCGTAGTAGCTTCCATGCCTTCGGTCCGGAATCATCCAACTCCACCAAATCCTTGATGTGCTGGAACATGTCGTTGTTGACCGATTGGAGGATGAGGTCGTACAGCACCGCGCTCTTCTCAATCCACCGATCGCGGGCATCTCCTTCCCCCGGCATCTTCTCCTCTCCCATTGCAATTTTCAGCAGCTTGTAGCGCTTGAAGGCGCTCCGCATCCGCCCGCTCCATTCCTCATAGTTGGAGCCATCCAAAGCTTCAATCTTGGATGGTGGCGGCTCACTCCTCTTCTCAGCTGCATCTCCACTCCCTTGATTCATCTCCTCTGCTCCCAATCAGAGGTTTCAGCTCCCCCTTTTGCTGGTCACAATGTAGATCCACACAATCTTCACAAGTGTCAGCGCCAACGAAATTTCGGCAGAGTTTCCCCTTAGCGGAAGTCACATCCAACCTCCAGAACTCCACTTAGGCACGCCCACAGGCCATGGTGGGTCTAGGAGGGTCTTCACACTTCAGTAGACTCCCCACAAGGTCCTTAATCACCTCTGATACCACTTGTTAGAGACTAAGGACGGAGTCTATGAAGATTAGGAGCCAAAATATCTCAACATCGTTGGGCCTAGTTTCTGAACAGAAAAGTCGAGTTCACAAGAAACGCCGTCGACGGAAATTTCACGGTTAAAACTTCACCAAACTCAGATATGTTGTAGCTCTACTCCGTGGCTACAATTCCCAAGTTGAATCGTACGGAAAGGTGAAGTGTGTCTTGAGTTATCGATTTCAGCGCACTAGGGGGTATGCTGCCATAGAATCTTAACTCAATCACAAAGTTCACACAAGTTCACACAAGAGAATTAGAGTAGCACTAAACCAGGTGGAAGGGATAAGGAGGACGAGAGGGAAGGTCCCAAGAGAGTCCCCAACCAAGGAAACCCCATGCCATACAATTCCCTTCCCCATAGGCAACCCAACTTTGACCTTTGTCACTATCCCAACCTCCACAATCCACCTCAACCCAACTTGGCCAAACTTGCCAACCTGGTTTGGTTTCTCCCAACCATTTGGCAGCAACTACAGTAGAAAAGACGAATTTCCCAACCCCCAAAAGTCTGTACCCCATATTGAGTCAACCCCACAACTTCCCATAGTCACCACAACCAAATATCAAAAGCATACGAACTCCAACGTTCGTAACTTTCTAGTTCGTGCTCCGATTGAAGCGATACTTGGTTCCTCGGAAAGCTCTTGAGCAGAGGAGTCACTTCAGATATCTGCTCAAGCCAAATAACATTCACACACACACTCAGAAAAACCAAACCGCACAAAACACAAATTCTTGCACACACTCACAACACGCATGCAACGCACGAACATATGATGGGAGGCAGACAGACGTGAATGCGAATGGTAGCATCACTCAACAACTAGAGCTGGAGCTGAGGGCGCTGAGCCTACTGGAGTTGGTGTTGCTGCTGACCCTCGGGTTGGTGCTGGAGGTGCTGGAGCCACTGGTCCTGGAGGTGCTCGTACTGGCGGTACTGGAGCTGCTGGGACTGGGGGTGCTACTGGAGCTGCTGGGGCTGGTCCTGCTGGAGGTGCTGCTGGTGCTGCTGGAGGTACTGGAGCTGCTGGAGCTGCTGGTGGTGCTGCTGGTACTGGGGCTGGTGCTGCTAGAGGTACTGGTGCTGCTGGAGGTGCTGCTAGTGCTGGTCCTGCTGGAGGTGCTGCTGGTGCTGCTGGAGGTACTAGAGCTGCTGGTGGTGCTGAGCGAGTTGGAGCTACTGCTGGAGGTTCTGGTACTGTCTCTGCTGGTTCTGGGGGCACTTCACAGCCACAGCCGTACTTCGTTCCCCTCCTTCAGCAGGTTCTTGGTCAGCCGCCTCCTCCTTGTCCTGCTCCCTCCTTAGAGTGTCCTCCGCCTGTCCAGTCACTGTCACAGCTACCGCCTGCCTCGCCAATCCCTGGTCCTTCTCCCTATACTGGTCCGACAAGCGGTCTTACGGAGCGTCGTGAGCCTGAGTCTCGTCCTGTGTCCCCTGATTCTCGGTCTGCGTCACCTGTTCGTGCTGCTCGCACTGGTCGTCGTGTCCCGCGTCAGCGTCCTCCTGCTGTCCCAGGCACTCACCAGATGGCGCTTCGTCCTTCCACTGCTCTACATCGTGTCGTGCTGCCTTCTCCTCCTGCGTCCTCTCTTCCTGCCCTTGCTGACCCGCAGTCTGACTCTCTTCGTGCTGCTAGTCCTACTGTCACGCGTCTCCTGGCCACTGCTGTCGTTGACCCTTCCTTTGAGTCAGCTGCTGCGTCTGCCTTAGTTTCTGAGCTTGTCGACTTTGCTGCTCACTGTCGTCTAGACTACGCTGCGAGTCTTGTTGCTGAGTTTGAGTCTGAGTCTGTCTGTCCTCCGTCCGTGGGGGGTGAGTGTGCTCTTGGCACGGACGTCCTTGAGGACAGGCAGGAGGAGTTTGAGTGCTTTGCTGCCGCTGTGCCTCATCTCGTGTCCATGCTGATTGCACCTGAGGGAGACCCGGATGCACCAGACATCCCGACCCCGCGCTCTTACGCTGAGGCGATCGCGGGTGAGTACTCCTCTCAGTGGCAGTCAGCCATGGACGCAGAGATGGCATCCTGGAAGTCCACTGGCACTTACGTCGACGAGGTTCCCCCTCCTGGGGCGAACATCGTCAGTGGCATGTGGATTTTCAGGGTGAAGCGGCCGCCAGGTTCTCCGCCTGTCTTCAAGGCTCGTTACGTTGCTCGAGGCGCCACGTGAGTGGCACGACACACTGAGGACTACACTTGCGGCTCTTGGGTTCGCGCCTTCTAATGCTGACCCGTCGCTGTTTCTGCGCACCGACACTTCGCTGCCGCCGTTCTACATCCTCGTGTACGTCGACGACTTGGTCTCTGCCACTGCTGACACTGAGGCTCTCGCCCTGGTGAAGTCGGAGCTGCAGAAGAGACACACGTGCACAGACCTGGGTGAACTGCGCAACTACCTTGGCTTGCAGATCACCTGGGACAGAGCACGCCGCACCATCACACTGACTCAGTCACACATGGTGCAGCAGGTCCTTCAGCGCTTCGGCTTCACCTGGTCCTCGGCACAGGCCACTCCTCTGGCTACAGGTCACTCGCTCTCAGCTCCACCTTTGGACGAGTCCGTAGAGCCGAGTGGTCCTTACCCAGAGCTAGTTGGCTGTCTCATGTACCTGATGACTTGCACTCGTCCTGACCTCGCATACCCTCTTGGCCTTCTGGCTCGCTACGTGGCTCCTAGTCGGCACCGAAAGGTGCACATGGATGCTGCTAAGAAGGTACTGCGCTACTTGTGCAGTACATTAGGCATGGGACTCGTGCTTGGAGGGAGGAGCTCAGTTGTCCTCGCTGGGCACTCAGACGCTTCTTGGGTTGACGACCAGGCTATGCAGCGGTCGTCACAGGGTTACACCTTCAGCCTTGGCTCTGGTTCAGTTTCTTGGCGTTCTACGTGTTCGTCTTCAGTTCTCAGCTCCAGTTGTGAGGCTGAGATCTACGCCACAGCCATGGCTGCACAGGAGTTACGCTGGCTCACCTACCTGCTGACCGACTTGGGAGAGCGGCCTAGTTCTCCTCCAGTGCTGTACGTCGACAACAAGGCTGCCATTGCCTTGTGTGAGGAGCACAGACTGGAGCACAGAACGAAGCACATCGCTCTGCGTTACTTCCTGGCTCGAGAGTTGCAGCAGCGTGGTCAGCTTCGTCTGCGTTACGTGGCCACTCGGGCCAACACTGCTGATATATTCACCAAGGCACTTCAGTCTGGTGATCATCAGCGTTTCTGCACTATGCTAGGGCTTGTGCCCACTTTTCCTCACTTGCTGTAGGCTTTGCTTGTATTGTGATCTATAAATATATATACCTGCATGCTTGCTTTGCTAGGTAGAGATCACTGTGCTCTTTGTGTTGCATATATGCCTCTGCATGTGGACTGGCCTTGTGGCCCTTTGCTTGTGCTCAGAGTGTGTGGTGACGTTGTGATCCACCCTGAGCTTGCTTTGCCTTTCTTGACTGGTCTTGTGACCCCTTGCTCTCCCCCACTTTGCCTATAGGGGTGTGTCAAATGTCATGTCTACTACAGTTTGTTTAGGCTGTAGTGGGGTAGTTACTATGGGGTACAGTAAGTTTAGGGTTTCCTACTTGTACCCAACTCTTTCCTAATGCAATCACTCTTGTTCATTCTGACAATTCCTCCAGATCACTACCAAGGACGATGTTTCTCTGTTTGACCACACGTCTGGCGCCGCTCCCGCACCTGCTGCTACTGCTGACAGCACTGCTCGCTCACAATGGCAGACCCGTGACGCTCATGCTCGCCTAGTCGTTCGCAGCCACCTACCGTTAGATGAGCACGAGCACTTTGGCCAGCATAAGACCGCTAAGGAGCTGTACGACGCTGTAGTTGCACGCTACTCCTCCCCTGCTACTGCTGCGATAGGCCATCTCTCCCTGCCCTATCTCTTCCCCGATCTGTCTGCTTTTGCCACTGTAGCTGACCTCATCACGCACCTTCGTACTAGTGATCTTCGCTACCGTGCCGCACTTCCCCCCAATTTCCTAGCCAAGAACCCTCCCCCAATGTACCTCACACTCTATCACCTAGTTACCCGCCTCCCTGACTCCCTTCGCACTGTCAGGGACCACTTTCTCGCCCTCTCCCAAACCGACCTCACTGTCGACCTGCTCGAGAAGGAACTCCTAGCAGCTGAGAAAAGCATTTTAGCTCTAGGTGCCTCTCGTGGCGACCCTCGCACTCCCTTCTTTGAGAGGTGCTCCCCCGTCCCCCTCCTCCCCTCCATTGCATCTGCTGCTGCTGTCGACTACCTCGGTGCTGAGGGGGTCGGGGTTGCGTCTGCTCCTAGTGGGAGGCGCAAGGGCGGCAGGGGCAAGGGGGGCAGGGGTGGCGGTGGTGGCGGCGGGGGCGGCGGTGGTGGAGGGGGTGGAGGCGGCGGGGTGGTGGCGGTGGTGGGAGTGGTACTGGTGGTGGGGGAGTCAATGGCGGAGCCGGGGGTGGTGGCGGCGGCGGTGGTGGGGGTGGCGGGGGTGGTGGTGGCAGTGGTGGCGGCAGTGGAGCCGGTGGCGGGCGCGGTGGAGCGGTGCAGCGTGGGGGGAGTGGAGGTGGCCAGAGGCAGCAGCAGCAGCGTCCCAGCGAGACCCCGTTGTCCCAGCAGCTCCGTGAGTGGTACTCTCAGCGTGGGGGGTCTGGGGGTGGAGGTACCTGCCCGTACGTCATCCGCACAGGTGACCGCACTGGCCAGATCTGTGGGAGGTTTCACACGGCGCAGCGCTGTTTCTTTCGCCTTGACGACGCCTGGCGCGAGCAGTTCCCTGACGCCTCTGAGCTGCCCCGCTGGGCTGATCTGCTTAAGAAGGGAATTGATATCTTTGCTCTTGATTTTGATGCTATCCTTACTGCTATGTATGCATTGACTATTAGTGTTGAGGGTGACTGCTACCTGAGTGTACCGCTCGACCCGGGTATTGGGACCAGTGAGACAGCTGCTCTAGGTGCTAGTGCGTCTACTGCCCTAGGTCTGAGGCTGTTGCTCTAGGTGCTAGTGAGTCTACTGCTCCAGGTGCTACTGCGTCTACTGAGGCACTACACACCTTCACCCTGGACTCGGGTGCTTCCCGCTATTTCTTTCGTGACCGCACTGTCCTTGAGCAGCTAGCTCGGCCAGTTGCTGTCTCTCTCGCTGACCCCTTTGGGGGCCCAGTCCTTGCGACCTCCTCCACTGTCCTCCCTTGTCCAGCGGTTCCGGCCGGCACCCTGTCGGGTCTTTACCTCCCCTCGTTCTCTACCAACTTGGTGGCGGGCTCTGCTCTCCAGGACGGGGGTGTTCACCAGTTCACTCCTGCCTATGAGCGTGTGACCCACTGTACGTGTGCTCGGACGGGTCGCCACCTGGATACCTTTACTCGGCAGCCGGGGTCAGACCTGTACACACTGACCACTGAGTCCCCTCAGGTAGCTGTGTCTGCGTCTGCGTCGGGTCAGCTGTCAGCCCCCTGCTCGTGTCGCACCCTGTCGCACCAGACCGTCCTCTGGCACCACCGCCTTGGTCACCCGTCAGTGCAGCGCCTTCGTGGCATGCACTCTCGGTACCTTGTCTCTGGTCTTCCCAGGGTTCTCCCTCCTCTCCCACCCTCGCCTGCTCCTCCCTGTCTTCCTTGTGTCGAGGGGCGGCAGCGCGCCACTCCTCACTCCTCCTCGTTCCCTCCCACAGAGGCTCCCCTGCAGACTCTCCACCTGGACGTGTGGGGCCCAGCCCGCGTCCGTGGACAGGGCCACGAGCGGTACTTCCTGCTGGTCGTCGACGACTACACGCGCTACACCACGGTCTTCCCCTTGCGCACCTTGGGAGAGGTCCTTGATGTTTTGATCCCTTGGATCCCTGCTGCTCGTCTCCAGCTCCACGAGCAGTACCAGTCGGACTTTCCAGTCCTGCGTCTGCACTCTGACAGGGGTGGTGAGTTTTCCTCCGACCTCTTAGCAGCCTACTGTGCGGAGCACGGCATCCGCCAGACGTTCACTCTTCCGGCCTCTCCACAGCAGAATGGGATTGTTGAGCGCCGCATTGGCTTAGTCATGGAGGTCGCTCGTACCTCCATGATCCATGCGGCTGCTCCCCATTTTCTGTGGCCGTTTGCAGTGCAGTACGCTGCGCATCAGCTCAACCTCTGGCCCCGTGTCTCTGCTCCGGAGACCTCGCCCACACTGCGTTGCACGGGGAAGGTTGGCGATGCGTCGGTGTTCCGAGTCTGGGGATGTCGAGCCTTTGTTCGCGATACGTCCGCGGACAAGCTCTCCTCCGTGCCGTTCCTTGCGTCTTTCTTGGCTTTGTCCCTGACGCGCCTTGTTGGCTGTTCTACCACCCCACCTCGCGCCATATCTTCCCCTCTCAGGACGTCACTTTTGACGAGTCGGTACCCTTCTACCGTCTGTTCCCCTACCGCACTGCGCCGCTTCCCCCCCCGCCGCTCTTCGTCACGCCAGGTGCTACTTCGGTAGACCCCCTCCCTCCCCAGGGTCCTGCTCCCTCAGGTGTTTCCCAGGTAGACCCGGTCGAGCCTGTCGAGGTAGCTGTCGACTCTGGTCCTGCGAGGGGTACGGCGTCTGGGGGTGCTGAGACTGGGGGTGCTGAGCCTGCGGGTGCTGAGCCTGGGGGTGCTGAGCCTGGGGGTGCTAAGACTGGGGGTGCTGAGCCTGGGGGTGTTGAGCCTGGGGGTGCTGAGACTGGGGGTGCTGAGCCTGGGGTTGCTGAGACTGGGGGTGCTGAGCCTGGGGGTGCTGAGCCTTGGGGTGCTGAGCCTGAGGGAGCTGAGACTGACCGTCCTGCGCCTGGTGACGCTCCCTCTTCACAGCAGCTGCGTGAGTGGTACTCTCAGCGTTACAGCCTCCGGCGTGGGGCTGCTGGAGCTGCGGGTTCTGCCGGAGTTGGAGCTGGTGGTGCTTCGGGTACTATGTCGCAGCCGGCGCCTCCCTCCCCACAGCGACTGCGTGAGTGGTACGCTCGCCGCTGCAGCCTCCGGAGCGGCGCTCCTAGCACTGGGGTGCCGCTCGCTGGAGGCCCTGGTGCGACTGGAGGTACTAGAGCCTCAGGTCCTGGAGGTGCTCGTACAGGCGGTACTGGAGCTGCTGGGACTGGGGGTTCTGCTGGAGCTGGAGCTGGTGCTACTGGAGGTGCTACTGGTGCCGGAGTTGGAGCTACAGATGCTGGCACTGCTGGAACT